TTACCTTGCACTTGTCTAGACACTGACCAGTCCCCAACATCAAATACACCTGCACAGACCACAGACTCCAAGTTCCCTGGGACAGCATCTGTGGTATCCTGACATATTCCTGGTCACTGAAAAGCTCTCCAGCACCCCTGTCAAGCTACCAGATATTGCCAGAGCACTGCAAGGGAGAAAAGCAGGGAAGAAGCATTCTAGATAGCTTCTGACATGGGCAAGAAGCCCTTAAGCCCCACCTCACCTACAAATAGGCATATTTTTAACCACAGAGGTGCTTCTCAGAACCACTTCAGTGCTTGAGAGGAGAGGAAGGCTTCTAGTGTCCACTCTCACTTAAAGAAAAGGAGAGTGAGTTATGCCAAAAATAGGAAGTATGTTTTTTTTGTGCTCCTCTGTATCAATACTTCTTCCAGTCCTCCTCACAGCTGTAGGTTCAAAGATATTTCAGGATTTTATCCTCAAGTTCAGATGGGACCCAACAAATACATTGGAGAACACCAACACCAAAGGGTGTAGCTCACTTTAGGTTTGTTACAAACTGCTCCTGAACCTGCTAGCAAATAGAAACATCATACACAAAGTCTCTCCCAAGAGGCAAAAATTCTACCCAAGCCCTCAACTAAGGGATTCCTCCTGTCTAGTCTAAATTGCAGAAGTTGCAGACTCAGGATGGTTCCTTCTTCAAGCAGTTTCCAAAGACAGAAATGTAAGGAGATGCCCAGATGCAGTGAAAGGGGAAGATGGAAAAAAGCAGAAGGAGCCAGGGAAGGTGCAAACATTACAGTAACTGAACTCCAGTTAAGGCATCAGAAGTCCAAGCACTGGTGCTCTTTTTATAAAGCACAGAAGCTCAAAGATTCATTTGTAACAAAAATGCAACATTTTAATATTGAACATTGAAAAAAAAAAAAAAACACACACACTAAAAACTTTAAGCATGCCAAACTTTAAAATTGAATTCAACATCCAAGAAATTAGGCATAGCACCTCAGTGTTTCTTTAGAATGGCAGCAGCTCTTCCTGGAGCTCTTCAGTTTACAGGCACATGACTCTGAAATGCTCAACTGATGGAAACCAAACCCCACACATTCCAGTGGAAGTTCACATTGAAGGAGTGCCCTTAGAGGTCTCCCTGTTTGATGAAATGAATATCCTCCAGGGTTAAGATTAATACCAAATCATACTTAATAGGCAGTGTATGATTTTTACAGTCTGTTTTCACACACAGAATCACACCTGACCCCACAGAGTTTTATCTTTGAACCAGAATCTGGCCTCATTGCACTGTCACCAAGATGGCTTACTAAGATGGCTCAGTGTTGCCCACTCTTAAAATCTAAATCACATTTTATTAATAACAAATAGTGCATCATTTTAACAAGACATAAAAAAAAAAAAAACACACAAAACCAACAACTCACAAACACATCAGTTCATGAAAAAGACTGTTTGGCACAGGCACATGCCCCAAAGTTTCTTTATCCCTGCAGCTCTTCAAAGGTCAACCAGTTAAATTTTTGACACTTTTGAAGCTCAAAGGCTCTGACACTGCTACTAGCCTGTATCCCTGGGAGAAACAACGAGACACAAGGGACTCCTGAAACTCTTAACACTTCTTAAAAGTCTACACTTACTACTCTTAAAAGGTCCCATGTCAGAGTCTTGCAAGAACAGGAAAGCCAACAAACATACATCACTTTTTGCTCCTGTGGACTTCACAAGATGATGTATCAGCTTCTCAGTGTTCCTCCCCAAACAGTAATTATTTATCTCAGTCCAATCCCCAATGAACTAATACATAACATTCAACAATATATAATAATGCATACAGGACATGACAGAGTATCTAAAAAGACACTCAGGTGAGTTCACCTTTGCACAAAAGAACAAAAGTCCTATAAACCAATCTGGCTTTTCCTCAAACTGCTAGTAAGAAAAGCAGACCTGAATGGTGATACTTCATGGGGGTGCTGTTGTGGGTTTTTTGGTTGGTTTTGAGAGGGTTTTGGGTTTTGTTTGCAGGAGGACCAGAAAATATTTTGGTAGGTTTAGTAGTGATGCTGGTGTAAGAATCAACTAAGGTCACCTAATTTAAAGGCTTCCTGAATGAAGGAGGCTTTTGCAAATAGATGCTGGGAGTACAGGTGTAGTTAAATTAAACACCTTTCCATAAACTTGTTGCTTACTTCTATATAAATCAGACTTAAGAGGAATTGCTTAAGGCATGCTGATTTTATCAGCAGCTTCAGCTCATTAGGAAAGGTCCAATTGCCCACATACATATTAAAGACATATCTGGTAGACAAATATTCTTAAGTTTTGTGCATTATTTTGTGCATGGATGTTGCACTTAACTACACCCCAGTAATAAAGATTTCTTGAGCTGCCTCGACAAAATACAAAGATGGCCAAACTGTCAGCATGGTGCAACAAATAAACAGGCAGCAGGTTCAATCCACTGCTGTTTGCTGGTGCATCTGAGGCATGCATCTTTCCAAGTCTGAATGTGTGGTCAGCATGCTCACAGGTAATACAATTTCAGCATTACAGCACAGAGATCACAGCTTTGAGTGAGGAAAGAGTAGTCACATTGGCTTACACTGGTCACATTCACAGCACAAAGCTATCAATTTGTAGAAGTTGCAGGATATTGAGAGACTGGAGGCTGAGTGGGAGGCAGAACTCCAGGAGCAGCTGACTGGGATAAGCGATTGGCATTTTCACAGAAGAGAGCGCTGGGATTAAGAAGAGGAAAAGAAAGAGATGCTGCTGAAGCTGCCTGTCGTCCCAGCAGAACTCCTAAGCTATAGAGGTTTGAATTCATGAGATCATTGCCTCGCAGGAGTATAGTCAGTTGTTTCTGGATTTCTTGCAGGACCTGCAGCTGACTCTGCTGATTCAGAAGCAGCATATCCATATTCTCCCGCACGTTCTTCACTGCACAAAGAGGAAAAGGATGTTGGCATTTGCTGTGTAAAAATACTTTGCATGGCAATTCAGAAGCCTTTTTGTACTTACACTCTTCAAGAACAAGACTCAAGCAATCTGCCTCCCCTTTCTCTGCACCACGCGTCTGGGCTTCTTTATGATGCAAAGAGGAAAGTTCTGAGTGATCAGCAGCTGAAAGGAAGGCAGTGTAAGTCAGGAGCCTGCGTCTTCACCAACTGCCACCTCAGCTTTTTTAATATGCTTTCACGCAATGAAAATGCAGCCCAGTAACAACTCTTCCTCTCACCCACATTTTAAAATGTCTTTGAAGTCACACGTTGCCCAAACTAAGCCAAACGAGAACAGACTAGGCAGATACAGACCTCTGAAACATCACACTTGAGTTTTTTTTTCACAATCAAGGTACTTTCCTTTTGCTTCCCTCACATATTTTTGGGGGAGGCGTTGGGGAGGAAGGAAGCAAGGTTTTTTTCACAATCAAGGTACCTTCCTTTTGCTTCCCTCACATTTTTTTTTGTGGGGAGGCGTTGGGGAGGAAGGAAGCAAAGCTGGAGCAGGGGAGCTGTTAATGGATAGGACACGTGAGATTTTGTAAAGATGTACTTCAGTTATAAATATGTTAACCTCTTTTTTGAAATTGTCAGATACAGAAATCAAGCTTCATTCCTCATCCACACATAGCAAGGCCAACATGACATGTAATTTGATCATGAAAGCAATTTAATTATGTAGCTTCAATTACAGTGAGGCAATAGCTAATAGTTACTCCAGAGTAAGCTGCACACTGTCTTTTGAAGCAGGTACAGAGTTAGGCTGATCTGATATGAATTACTGGCCAACTGGTAGGGTAAAAATGGGACTATATTCTTATGAATGATAAACTCTTCCATCTAAATATCTATTAACAGTGGTGAAGAGGGGAAAAAAAAAAAAACAACCAAGCATTAGGAGTGCAAAGTCCCATTTTAGGGCTCATTAGGCCACCATTCTAGGGACTGAGTGGTCTCAAACCCTACCTTACAAATTCAGTTTTGCCATTTCATAACTTCATCATTATTCATTACAACTTCATTATTAGTTCTATTGTTGAGATGAAAGTCTCTCCTGCTCAGAAATTTTTTTTCAGGAGGAAAAATAAAAATAAATTTAAAAATAAATAACACCACAAACAAGACACAACAAAACAACACACACACACACAAGAAAACCCAATACCAGCCCAGAAAACCCTGACACCAGAACACCTTCTCACATGGCCTCATGTCTTAATTGCCCTGCTGTTACATGACCTGGTAGTCAAGACTCCACAGCCCAGAACAATTCTATGGGTGGCTGGGCAAGACCCACGATCAAAAATCAAAACTTTTTTGACCAAGTATAAAGGGACTGCCCATGTAAAGATACATAGGAAAAAAAACCTAAACAAACAAAAACCCAAACCAACAACCAAAACTCTAAAATGGCAGACTCTATCCCAGAGTGTTTGGTCATTACAAGAACATGGAACGCTGCAAAATGCAGAAAATTCCCTACTTTAAACAATCAGCTTGCCTGACAGCTTATGCTATGCTAAGAGTATTACAGATGGATGGCCAGCAGAAACCTCCTACTGCAGAAAAGAAGCTACTCATTTAATATCCTCTTATAATAAATATTAGGTGCTAGAGACTCACAATCTAAATCCCTTTCACTTCACTAAGCTTAGTATTCTGTTGGCTAAGCACTTCTGAAGATCTCAGGCTAGACATAAAGCAACACTGCAAAGCAGGAATTAGCAGGATCTGAGAACTCTGCAGAGTCTAAGGTCCCAGGTAACCTTCATGGCAAAGTCTAAACTTCAACTTTGGGGAAGTGCATTGAAAATGCCAAATGGCAAAGGTAAGTATGCTACATAGGAAGGGAAACAAACAAACAAAAAACCCCACTCATATCCACAGCAAGGAGGGGGAAGTGTTGAGGAACACACAAGAGACCACAGTATGTGATACAACCCCTGTGAGTCTGCACAGCTTGAAATAAAAACTCAGAGGGGACTTTACTTCAGTTACCTGCTGTGTGCTCACTGGCTCTCCTCGAGTGAACCTGCTGATGTCTGATGAAGTCTGAGCACAGACGGAAGCTAGTTCCACACTCAGCACACCTGTAAGGCTTCTCAGCCTTATGGACCTTCTGATGCTGGGAGAGAGCTGCATTGCCACTGAAGCTCTTCCTGCACATGGTGCAAGCAAAGGCTTTCTTCTTCACGTGGGTTTTGCGGTGAGCAACGAGGCTTGAGGTACGGCTGAAGGCTTTCTCACAGTCCTTGCACTTGTAAGGCCTCTCCCCTGTGTGGATTCTCTGGTGCACCACCAGGTTGGCCTTCCTACGAAAGCTCTTCCCACATTCCACACACTCAAACGTTTTTTCTCTCGTGTGGGTTTGCAGGTGGTTGAGGAGCCTGGTGTGCCCCTTGAAGCTCTTCCTGCATTCGGGACACTTGTGGGATTTCTCCTCTGTGTGGGGTTTCTGGCCGTCAGCGACGAGGGCGAGTTTCTTGGAGCTTCTCTTTTGGTGAGTGAGTTTACCAGAGGCTCCCTCTCCGTTTGGGCTGTGGGCTTCAGGTAGCTGAGGTAGGACATCTTGAGGAAGGTCTTTGAGGGTGATACCCTCTGCCTCACTGTCACTCAAAATGCAGTCCTCTGATGGAGGAAAAGAACAATCTGACACTCCCTCTCTTAGACAGATAACCTGCTCCTTGTAAAATAATTTAATTTCTCTGGCCTATCATCAGCTTGCACCAGATTTCCCTTTCCAAAGAGGAAGGGAAATTATGAAGATTGAGACAAGAAGACAGGAAAAACACAGTGTGGCACAGGAAAGGAAAGAGAGGTAGGAAACCCACCTCTTCTCCTTCCCCTCCCCATTTCTTTGTTCTGCCTCCCCTCAGGGAATGGCAAAGAAAGACCACCAAAACGAAGGAAGGGAAAAGAACAGGCTGAAATACCTTACTCATCACAAATACATACTTTTAGCTATTTTTTTCCTGCAGGCTTCGCTTAAAAGCCTTACAGCCTGCAAAATTAATATTGAAACTCTGTTTTAAAGCTGTGTGTTTGGGTGGGGATGGTTCAACAAAAAAAGTCCTTTCAACCTTTGTTAAATCAACAGGAAGGTTTAAGCTGTTTCTCACTTGTGTTAGTTAACATTTACTGAAAAATTTTAAATTGCTTCTTTTACAGGTTGGCAAGTCAGGGTTTTTTTCCCCCAATTATCACGCAAACAGTTTTAATTATTGTAGGGTTACCATATATTCATGCATTGGAAGTCAGAGGAGTTATATATTTATTAATAAAAAATAACCTAATTGCCAATTAACTATTACCACCTCTTTTATATTCAGATTTTGCATGATACCTACTTTCTTTGTAGTGGCAAGCTAAACAAACTGCATTCCAAAGAAGCTCACAGGAAATACTCACAGGTGACTCTCTCTTTCCAAAAAGAAGTATGTATTCCAAAATGTAGTATGTATCTATGTATTTCATGATTAACTATGCATGATCATGCACCCCACAGCAAGCTCTGGTTACCTTGCTCTGCTGACTGAATTTTATAATTCTATAAATGCTGAACTGATGTAAATATAAGTATCACCTGACACACACTTACCAGAGCTCGATTTCTGTAAGCATCTTAAGATGCTTACTGTTAATTCAAATAGAGGACTTAGCCACTTGCATCTCTGATCTAGCATTAAAATGTTTAGTGACTCACACTGCATATACTTCCATTTAATACATCATATTTGATTATTCCACTAACAAAAAACAGGTCTTCTACATTCAAGCTAAAACTCTGCAGTGCAATTTCATTCCTACCTCTATGACACCAAGGAATAAAATTCTTCAGTAATGTGCTCTTGAAGAGACAAAATGCACTCTATTTATATGGCCACAACTGTCAGGATCTGAATACCAGTGATAAAACAAACCAAACACAAAGCGAGTGTGGCTCATCTCTTACAACAACACATTACACCAAGACACAGCTTGCTCCCAGAGGGATGAAGAAGACTCCCTCCTGGAGAAGCAGTCATTCCCTCACTCTATAACCAAGCAGCTGATTATTCCCTAAGGCCCATGCAGACACTCAGGTCTCTAACAGTGAAACAAGAACCAAACAACCCTTCACTCCTGTCCATAGCTGGGGAGTCATGCATTTCAGATGCAGCTGTGCAGCTCCCTCACATCTTCCTCACCTGGGAAAAGGCCTGAAAGAAAGACAAGTGCACTAGTTTTCCTTCACTCCAAAGGAACTGTACTGTCTTATTTTAAACCAACTGCTAAAACCCCACAGCAGAAGCACAAAATATCACCAACTGCCTTGCCCCAG